ACACACACACACCCACACACACACACACACACACACACACACGAAGATACTTTAAGCAATATGTATGTAAGTTTTTTCTGGGAAAACCCACTGTGGAATTTTGGAGAAACAGGAAATTTTAACAGATTTCCTAGATAAAGGAACGCAAATGACTGAACCTTCCTTCCTGTGTGTACATACACAATTGAAAACTGGTTGGAATAAGAACTGGCGGGCATATTTGCCTTTTCATATTTAAACTTAAATTCTTCTTCCATCAGTCTGCAAAAAAGGCTGAAGACTTGGAAAATGACGAGGAGTTGGAAAACGCAACAGAGTTTTTGTATATGGCTTCAAAATCTGCAGAAACAGCTGGTAAGTAGAGGGAGGCCGCTGGCGCTGCTGTCCCAGGGTTGGTGTGTGCTGCCCCTTTCTCTGTGAGTTGGCCCATTGCAGAGGAAGTAATTGATCACATTAGGTAGGGTTGGAGGGAGGTGTCTATTTTAGTGTTTTAAGGGGAGTGTCTGTCTACAGGAGAGAGCAGAGGAAACCCTGAGGCAGGCAGGGGATGTCCCTGTATTCACTTTCTGCTCCTCTTACATCCTCTAAATGCCATTTTATGACCTCAGTCCTCTGCTGAGGTCTCACTAGGGATCACTTGGTCCTGTGCAACCCCTTTGTAAAAATCAATTGCTGATTTGCCTATTTCTTTCTTTCTCACAGCCCTACCTTAGAGGCCAGCCAATTTTGCTTCTTTCTTTTTTTGCTTTTCTTGGTTTCCTGTTCCCTCCTACCCTCCCTCCCTCCCTCCCTCCCTCCCCCCCCCCCCCCCCCCCCCCCCCTCTGCCTCCCTCTCCATTCCTTCCTTTGCGGTAGGATAGTTTCAGAATCCCCTTCCACACATCATATAGGTGGCATTCCAGTTTTGTGTGTGTAGCGGTGTTCTAAGTGGGCTTCTGAGTTCTCTGAGAAGGCTGAGCTCCTTTACGTTTCAGAGCCCCAAATGCCTGATTGGGGACTGGAGAGAGTTCTGCTGGAGGTGTGGTTTGAGAGAGAGCATCTCTTCACACTTGTTCCTTTCTGGGTCCAGCACTGAAAGTGCAGAACCTTGAATGATTAGGTTTTTTGTTTTTTCAGTAAATAATTTCTTCTATTATTTTTGGTGTTTCTGCTGAATATTTGTTTCTCCCATCATGCATCTTGTCTTTTCTGTGATCAATAACATTTAAGTTTATGGCACTTTAATGTTTCTGCTTAACACTCATTACTATTGAAGTAAACAGAAAATGCAAATGTCACCTGATACTAAAGACAATATATGAGAGAAGAATAAATAAATAAGAAGGAAATTCCATTTTTATGATATAAAATATAAATTCTAAAATATGTTACTAAATATCAGTATTGTATATTTACGGTATTTATAAATTTTATTGTTAATGTATTTGGAAACATAAATTTTATTATTAATTCACATTGGGTAATCAGGGTTTACAGTGCACCAGACTTCTCTCCTAAGAGTCTGGGTGCTCCAACTGCATTGCTCCTTCTATATTGAAGGACTTCTTTGTCAGTGGACTTTTCCAAGTCTCTACTGCTTTTAAAGAAAGTGACAAAACATACACTGGAAAAAGGACAGCCTGTTAAACAAATGGTCTTGGCAAAACGTGATCGCCATCTGCAGAAGAATGAGATTACATCCATATCTGTCACCTCCCACAAATATCAGTTCAAAGCAGGTCAAAGACCTTAATTTAAATCCCCCAAACACTGAAACTGCTAGGGACAACACTTTAGGATATAAGGATAGGAAGGAATGTTCTGAATGGAACCCCAGCAGCACAGGAAATAGCGCCAAGAATTGACAAACGGGATTTTGAGGAACTAAAAACACTTGATGGGCCAATGGGATGATTCAGTGGGTAAAGATGCTTGACTCCAAGCCTGAAAACCTGAGTTCAGTCTCCAGAACCCACATGGTAGGGAGCGGGAGAGAACTGACTCCTACAAGTTACCCTCTAACTTCAACACACCACACACATACACATACATGCACATGTTCAATGAGCAAATATATATACCTATAACTTCAAAAGCTCCCCACAACCCAAGATACTAAGTACAAATTGAGCAGATAGCCTGAAATATAGGAGACACATTTTTTTATAGAACAGATAGTTTTCAAAAGGAGAAATACAAATGACCAGTAAATATTTTTTAAAAAGGGTTCAACATCCTTAATCATTAAAGAAATATGCATGAAAACCACTTAGGTAACCCACCTCACACAAGTCAGAATGACTGTCATCAAGAAAACAAGTAAGACATGCTGATGAGGATGTGGGCAAAGAGGAACTGGTCCTCACTGTTGGTCAGAGTGGAAGTGCCTCCAAAACTACAACTGGAACTGCCCTACGGCCCAGCGACACCGCTCCTGGGCATCCACCCAGAAGACTCCATATCCTACATAATACAGGCACACTTGGGTCTGCTGCAGCTCTGTTCACAATAGCAAGAAAATGGAATCAGTCTAGCTGTCCATCAAAAGGTGAATGGATAATGAAAATGTGGTATGTGCACACAATGGCGTTTTATTGGACAGTAACAACGAGGTTTTCAGGAAAAGAACCGATTTCCAGGGAGGTAGGTGGCCCAGTGTCAGAAAGACAAAGAGCGCATGTTCTCGTTCCTATGCCGATCCTAGATTCCAATTTGTAGGTATGTATGTTTATGTGGGAGCTAGTGTGTGTCGAGACCATGGAACTAGGAAAGGGCCCACGGGAAAGGGAAAAGCAGCGTTGAGGGAGGCAGATGGGGAGGGTAACAGAACACAGAATATGAAAGCCGGCCAAGCCTATGGAGACATTCTCATTGAGGATCCCCTTCTCCCTAGCTTGTGTCAAGTTGGCATAAAAACTAGCTGGCACACTTATATCTACCCATAGCGTGTTTCTGTGTGGTTAGGAAAACAGGGACCCTGTGACCAGGAAAGGGCCAAGTTTTTGCACATCGTCCACTGGGTGGCAGCATCTAGTCACAACCCGTTCTAAAAGGCGCAAAACTCTTAGCATAGGTCCTAGTTTGCCTGAACTTAAATTTCACACCTAGAGGTGATTCCTGAGGTCTTCCCCGAATAACAGCTCCTCAGAGGAGACTATGTTCTGCCTCCTCAGCTGCTGCTCCCCTTTCTTTTCTCTTATGAGTCTAGTGTCTTCAGCATTTCTCTCTTAGGCTGTTCAGTGTCAGTCTCTTTATCGTGTCATCCTGCTATCCTTGTTCCCCTATGGTGTAATTGTATTAGTTATCTATCGCTGCAAAAAAAAAAAAAAATTAACCTCAGAAGTTGGTGTATTAAGAAAACAAGCAGTTCTGCCCTTAGAATTTCAGCTATTTTGGAGGAGTGTGGCCAGGTGGTTCTGACTAGGTTTCCTCATGACACAGTTGATGGTTAGGGTTTTTGTCATCTGAAGGCACTCCTGAAGGTGCTCCTGGAGCCCGAGGCTGCTTCTAAAACCACTCACAATACTTCCTGGAAGATCTTAGTTCCCTGTACACTTTTGGCTGTGTCTCTTTAAGTTTCTTATGAATTTCATGAATTCCACTGTAGAATACTTACACGTCCTTACAAATTGGCAGCTTGCATCCCTTAACACGGGAAATAAGTATTCAATAGATTAGGTTATTTTTAGCATTTCCATGATTACTAGACAATATTAACAAGACTATGGTGTCTCATATTCCAGGGAATTTGGTAGGTCTCACATATTTATTAGCTATCAACTGGTTTCATATAGCTCTTTGCTATTACTATTCCAATTGGTGACTTCTTCAACATATTTTCACAACTTCTAAGTGATATGGAGAAAAGATAGAGGCTTTTTATAATTTTATGATTAACTATATTATAATTTATACTCTATTATGCAATATTTTATGATTAATTAGATCATGTTATTCATTCTGACTATCTTTAGTTGTATGCCTTGGATCTTATTAATTTTGAACATATCAACCAGAAAAAAATATTAATTTTTGTGTGTCTTCTTCAATAATTGTTCCCATTCCCAACACCAACCATAGACTTAGTGTTGGAGATTTATTCAATCCATTTCAATAGCTATTTGAGTTACAGATTTCTTTCTTGATAAAATTAACATTTTTAAATTAATAGATTTAAATAATGAATCTGTTTTTTATTCCTAGGTCAGCTTATGGAAGATGATTCTTTTAATTGGTATCGATTTGAAAGGCTGAATTTATTTTGTTTCTATAAAACAGGATTAGAGGCAGAGAGATGGCTTAGTGGATTAAGGTGCTGGCTGCCAAGCCTGATTAACTGAGTTCCATCTTCAGAGCCTACATGGCTGAAGGAGAGAACCAACTCCCTCAAGTTGTCCTGTGACCTCCACCTGTGCACTATGGCGTGAACACACCCACACATATATGCATATCTATGCACACAGATATATAAGTAAACAGAATGCAGAAGGATTAGATTTTGTGTGTGTGTGTGTGTGTGTGTGTGTGTGTGTGTGTGTGTGTGTTGTAGTGGAAGTGGGAATAGTAGGTGTGTGTACTTTGTTATCTTTGTTAACATCAGAAATTGAGTGCTCATGGCCATCCATTTATTTCTATGTTTGAAACAATTTACATAACTCGGGGATTGTCTGTTCCCTAAAAATCTGAACCATTTCATTGGAAACACCATCTGGCTCAGATGGTCTCTTGGAGGCAGTTCTGTGACTCTTCCGGGTGTCTCTCCCACGCACTGTCCTCCCGTTTACTGGTTCTTCTGGAGTCAGTTTGGGCAGGACTCTGCATACGCAATAAGAACAACCTCACTAATACAGCTCTTCACATCAGTATCCTAATAGTAATTCTCCACATTGTGTATCTTCTTAACTATGCCTAATTTTGTTCCTGGTTTTCCCTCTGTGAAAAAAAATGAAATTAAGAAAAAAGTAAGTCTTTTAATTTTAGCATGACTCCAAATTCAGAGAAAAGTTACAAGTATGGTACAGATTTTTTTTTTCTGTTTACACCACCCCATCGGGGCCACCGTTCATGAGTGTGATGTGTCTGAAGCAAACCAGTGTTGGTATGACCTTATTAAGCAAAAGCCAACTTTATTCACATCTTGTTAGGTTTCCCTAATGTTCTTTCCCTGCCCCAGGACTCCGCACAGGACATCACATCAGATTAGCCCTCAGGCTTCCTTAGTCCTCTCTTAGTTGTGCCACTTCTGGTGGTTCCTTGTTGGAGAAGATCTTGGCAGTTTTGAAGCACACTGTCAAGCATCTTGTAGCCTATCCACCAGCTGGGATAATCTCTTGATTTTACCATGACCAGACTGAATTGCACACTCTTGGGAGGAAGATGACAGTGTTAAAGTGCCGTTTTCATGACGCACCACCCTGTTGATGTCAACAGCCCTCCCCTGGCTGAGGAAGTGTTTGTCTGAGTTTTCCATTGTAAAGGCATGCCACCTCCCTCTCTTCCAACTGAGGCTTTTCTGTGGAAGTGGCCGTGTACAGTCTCTGTCTGAGAAGTGATGGGCCATGCTTTGCCTCAGTGAGAGCAGAATATGGGCCTACATTATTCCAAGTTATTCTGCCGGAGACATTGGTCTGTTTTCTCTTTTATTCACTCATTTGTGTCAGTATTGGACTGATGTTAGTGGATTTTGAGTTGGATTTCAACACCATTTTAGTGGATTGACTATACTTTCCCATTTTGGCCATTAGATGTCTCTTTGCATCCCTTTGCACCATTTCTGTCACTGTGGGATTTGTTTTGTTTCTCTTGCCAGGCATTATCTTCTCTTTTTGGCTTTTGACCCTTTTGTATTTCCCACCCTAGTCTTGGAGTCAGCCATGTCTCCAAGGAGCCCCGAATCCTGTCACTGGAGAGTGGTGTTAGAGTCAGCATCTCGATGCCAGGTGCAATTTCTGCTAGGAAAAGAGATGTATGTGCATCACCTGTTATGCACATGTCTGTAAGTATACCTGTATGTAGCCATCTCTGTAGGAGCTAATATTGAGTTAACACACACTCATGTGTCTGCTTGTACTCCGTCATCCCACGTGAACCATTTTGTCCTAACCCTCTGGCTTATCTGTAATGTTTATTCCAACAGTGAGAAACCTCTTCCCACCCTGTGCCATCTCTTTACTTAATTGTTCAGTTGCATGGTATACAGACAGTATCGATAACCCATAGAAAACACTTTGATCACCTGGAATGTACTTCTCACATTTAGTTTCTGTTACCTTTGGTCTTTTAGGTTCCGTTTTTTTCAGAGTTAGAGGTTTGGAGCTAAGCAGGCACCTTTTCATATGTTTGTTTTTGTTTCTATTTAATGAGATTGTGTTATTTATTTGTCATATGTTTGGATTGTCTTGCCACATTTCTGCATTCCATATTTGGGATTCCTCAATCTCTTAAGTGATTTTCTTTCAGAAGAATTTACAAACATCGATTTTTGTCCTTTATGTTCTGGTGGTAAGTGTTTTTTTTTTTTTTTTTAAGGCATAGTGCCACACATTCACAATTATTGCATTATATAGAATAGTCTTTCTGCCCTAAAAGAACCCATTGTGTGAGTCTTCATTCAACTCTCCTTCCTTCCCCAGCCTTCTAACTGCCACTGTTTTACTTTATTTATAGTTTTGCCCTTTCAAGAAAGTTGTGTAATTGGAATTTTCAGTGAAAACCTTTCCAGACTACATTCTTTCACTTAGAAGCGTGTACTTATGCCTTTTGCTGACATGGCAGCTAGCCTTTTTTTTTTCTTTTTGGATCATTATGAATATTTCATTCTACTGATTACTATCTGTTCTAGTTGCATTTTTGTAGCTATGATAAAATACCCTGACAAAAAGCAATTTAGGGGAGAAAGAACTTTGGAGTTCACAACTCCCTGTTACAGTTCATCGCTGTGAGAAGTGACAGTGGCAGAAGCTTGAGACAGCTGGACACATCACATCCACAATGAAGGGAGAAATGTATGCATGAACCCTCTTGCTTACTTGTGCTCAGCTCGATTTATCCACTCCTATACATTCCAGGACCCCTTGTCCAGGGAATAGTGCTGCCCATAGTGGACTGGGTCTTCTTAACATCATTTACCTTAAGGCACTCCCTCCCCCGCCAGACATGCTCACATACCAATCCTGTGTAGACAATCCTTACTGAGACTCTCTTCCCAGGATTCTAGGTTGTGTTAGGTTGACAGTTAAAGCTAACCATCATTTGTTCCCAAGGAGCTGTCATCATCATCATCATTATCATCGATGACTAGCCAATGAGTCTCATGGATCTTTCTGTCTTTGTCTCCCCAATGCTGGGATTACAAATATGTACTACCACGCCTGACTTATTTTGCATGGGTTCCAGAGATTGCACTGAGGTGCTGTGTTTGTGCAGTGGGCACTCTACCACCTGAGTTATCTTTCCAATCCCAAGATCTTTAATTTTAATGAAGAACAATTTATCAATTTTAACCTTGTGGATGGTGTGTGAGCCTTGTTTTGTTTTATTTTGAATCTCACCATGTAGCCCTCATGGGCCTGGAACTCATTGTGTAGGTTGGCCTCTAACTCGAAGAGATTCATCTACCCCTGCCTCCTAAGTGGTGGGATTAAAGGTATACCTCCACACCTGTCTTGGCATGCTTTTCAAAACAAAAGATTTCTCTGTGAAACAAACTGGCAGAGTCAACATGTCGTGTTAAATCAAAGAGAAAATTGATTTTTAAGATTGTCTTAGGGTTGCCAGGCAGTGGTGGCACACACCTTTAATCCCAGCTGTTGGGAGGCAGAGGCGAGCAGATCTCTGTGAGTTCGAGATCAGCCTAGTCTACAAGAGCTAGTTCCAGGACAGACTCCAAAGCTATACAGAGAAACCCTGTCTCAAAAAACCCAAAACAAACAAACAAACAAACAAGATTGTTTTAGGACTGAGTGGTGGTGGTTTATTCCTTTAATCCCAGGACTTGGAAGTGGGTGGAGGGTGGCAGAGGCAGGCAGGCATATTTCTGTGAGTTTGAGGCCAGCTGGCCCACAAAGCAAGTTCCACAGCAGCCACAGCTGTTACACAGAGAAACCCGGCCTTGGAAAACAACAACAACAACAAAAGATTACTGTAGGAGAACATCATGACCAAAAGCAACTTGGGCAGGAAAGGGTTTATTTTAATTACACTTCTGGATACAGTCCATCACCAAGGGAAGTCAGGGCAGGAACTTGAGCAGGACTGGAACCTGGAGGCAGGAACTGATGCAGAGGCCATGGAGGAGTGCTGCTTACTGCTTTGTTCCTTGTGGCTTTCTCAGGCTGCTTTCTGATAGAACCCAGTACGACATGTACAGGGATGGTACCACTCACAAAGGGCTGGGCCTTCCCACATACTTGCCCATAAGCAAACCTTATGGAGGCATTTTCTCAACTGAGAGTCCCTCTTTCTAGCTTGTGTCAAGTTGACATAAAACTAGCTGGGACAAAGATGCTTAATAACTAAATTTGCTAACACAAGAACATATAAAAATTTTTGAAGATTGTAATGTCCTGTTTTCTTCATGTTGCTTAGCCTCAGAGAAGAACACTGACTTCTACTAGTCTCCCAAATGTACTCGCTCCCTCTTTTAAATTAAAAAGTTGTGTGTGTGTGTGTGTGTGTGTGTGTGTGTGTGTGTGTGTGTGTGTGTGTGTGGGTAGGTGGGAGTGCATGCCATTGCACATGTGTGGAGGTCTGAGGACTTTGTGGAATTGATTCTCTCCCTCTCCATCCCTACTTGGGGTGGAGCTCAGGTCATGAAGCCTGCATAAGTGCCTTGGCCCATGGCACCATCTTGCAGGCCTTGTCTTTTTATTTATTTATTTATTTTGAGACAGAGTCTTATGTAACCCATACTGAGACACTTGCTGTGTCTCAGACAGTGACCTGTACTCTTGGGCCTCATGCATCCTCTCCCTATTGCTGGAATTGCAGGTATTTGCCACCATGCTTAGCTCAAAGGCATTCTGATAATGGCTGACTATACCTTCAAAATCTTCAACTTAGAGGCTTAAAATAAAAAGGGAAAATGTAATTCTGTTAGTGAGTGGGCATATTGTCTGTATCACAAGTGCTGGGATCTGCCTAGGCCATCAATAGAGAATTGTGATGCTCTAGCAGGCTCTTGTGCATCTAGGAAGGGCCGTCTGGCTGTCTTGTGTTGGGAAGAGCTCTCTGGCTGTCGTCTGCAGTTCTCCATGGCCCATGTGATGAAGACTGTCATTTCAGTGACACTGACAAAAACCAGTTCACAGGTGTGGAGGGGATTGAGGAATAGTAGAGGACTCTTCATCCTCTGTCTTACTGCAACTGTGTACATTATTTTATTTTGTGGAGATTGAACAGTGCTTTTTTCTCTTTTTGTATCAGTAGAGCCTTGTGAGTTTGAAGACAAATTTTTCTCAGTGTTTCATACTCAGATTCCTCCAGAAAATTATGAAAAATTCTTGCAGAATATCAAGAAGGGTATGTTTAATTTATGTGATTATATAGATTGTTACAAGAGGATGCTGGCTATATATGGAAATACCCATGGGTAAAGAGGACTTGGTATAATTTATAGTAATGAACAGATAAGAAGAAGCAGCTAGAGTTTGGTACAGCATAAGGGCTGAGGTTGTAGCTCAGTGGCAGAGAACTCACCTAAGACATGAGAGGTACTGGATTCAATCAGAGCGCTATGAAGATATGTGGATTACAACCTTTTGTGAGTTGATCCATGGTAAAGGTACTTACTGAAACATCATTATTGCATTCTCTTACTGGATGTTTGAAATTTTGCCTGGTAGTTTTTAAAAAGTAGATTGTAGACTTCCTGCTCCTCTGGCTCTTAGTCTTTTTTCACAATTCTAATTATGGGGTCATTTTGAATTTTTCAGTATTAGATTTTACCTGTGGTGTGGAAGAGATGAGACATTGAGCAAAACAGAAAAGAAACCTTTTTCAAATACAGAAAGGATTTCCCTTCCATGACGTTTTCTGAGCCTTGGGTGCAGGAGTTGTCTTATAGCTGTATCATTTGGGGCTGGACACCCCACCATCATTTATTCTCTGCATTTTGATTAGTTGTGAGAGAGGGAGAAAGAGTTTTCTTCAGGAAAGAGCCTCCCAATTGGTTATCCAATACCAAGTGGTCAGCCCTGAAATCATACATACAAGTAACTTTATTCAGGTT